GTTACCTGGTTTAGACCTGGTTAGTCCTGGTTTAGACCTGGTTTAGTTTGGTTTTAGTCCTGGTTTAGACCTGGTTTAGTTCTGGTTTAGTCCTGGTTTAGACCTGGTTTAGTTCTGGTTTAGTCCTGGTTTAGACCTGGTTTAGTCCTGGTTGTAGTCCTGGTTCAGTCCTGGTTCAGTCATGGTTTAGTCCTGGTTTAGTCCTGGTTTAGACCTGGTGTAGTCCTGGTTTAGTCCTTGTTTAGTCCTGGTTTAGACCTGGTTTAGTCCTGGTTTAGTCCTGGTTTAGTCCTAGTTTAGTCCTGGTGTAGTCCTGGTTCAGTCCTGGTTTAGACCTGGTGTAGTCCTGGTGTAGTCCTGGTTCAGTCCTGGTTTAGATCTGGTTCAGTCCTGGTGTAGTCCTGGTTTAGATCTGGTTCAGTCCTGGTGTAGTCCTGGTTTAGACCTGGTTTAGTCCTGGTTCAGTCCTGGTTTAGACCTGGTTTAGTTCTGGTTGAGTCCTGGTTTAGTCCTGGTTTAGACCTGGTTTGGTTCTGGTTCAGTCCTGGTTTAGACCTGGTTTAGTCCTGGTTTAGACCTGGTTTGGTTCTGGTTTGGTTCTGGTTTAGACCTGGTTTGGTTCTGGTTTAGTCCTGGTTTAGACCTGGTTTAGACCTGGTTTAGTCCTGGTTTAGACCTGGTTTAGACCTGGTTTAGACCTGGTTTAGTCCTGGTTTAGTCCTGGTTTGGTTCTGGTTTAGTCCTGGTTTAGTCCTGGTTTAGTCCTGGTTTAGTTCTGGTTTAGACCTGGTTTAGTCCTGGTTTAGTCCTGGTTTGTTCTGGTTTAGTCCTGGTTTAGTCCTGGTTTGTTCTGGTTTGTTCTGGTTTAGTCCTGGTTTGGTTGGTTTGGTTCTGGTTTGGTTCTGGTTTAGTCCTGGTTTAGTCCTGGTTGGTTCTAGTTTGGTTCTGGTTTTCTGGTTTAGTCCTGGTTTAGTCCTGGTTTGGTTCTGGTTTGGTTCTGGTTTAGACCTGGTTTGGTTCTGGTTTAGACCTGGTTCAGTCCTGGTTTAGACCTGGTTTTTCTGGTTTGTTTGGTTTAGACCTGGTTTGGTTCTGGTTTAGGTTTGGTTCTGGTTTGGTTCTGGTTTAGACTGGTTTGGTTTCTGGTTTAGACCTGTTTGGTTCTGGTTTAACCTGGTTTAGACCTGGTTTAGTCCTGGTTTGGTTCTGGTTTGGTTCCTGGTTTAGACCTGGTTTGGTTCTGGTTTAGTCCTGGTCTGTATGATTTTTCTTGTGATATTTAAATTTAAGTGTTGATAATTGAGGAAAAATAAAGACACGTAACAAGTCACGATAAAACATCTTCAGTTTGCTTTATGGCTGTGATTTTTAACCACTGGCATGTTTACATTCTGTTTTTTTAATTCTGAATTAACTGTTCTGAATTTAATAGTCCGGAATTAAAATATTCTCTTTCGAGTTTCCATGGAAATAATAATTCTGAATTGAGGTTTACATGGAAAAAATGTTTAATTGCTTTTTAAAATTCCACTCAGCGTCGGGGGCGGAGTCCTGCACCGGATTATTCAGGCTGGCGCCACCTAGTGTCTCTGCTCAGTTTCATTTCTCTCCGGCGACTAGGTCAGGAGTCGGAAAACACTCCACAACACATTCTGTGTTGTCAACGATTCCCGAGATCGAGGATTTAAAGCCGGAACAAAGAGAAAGTTTAGTGAATTTAATCAAGGGGAAAGACGTTATTGTTCTTCTTCCTACGGGATTTGGGAAAAGCTTAATATACCAGTTATCCCCATTAGCGGAGCATTACATACGTCATGACCAAATAACAGCGACTGGTTAAATCAGGCATGTCCAAAGTATGGCCCGTGGGCCACATGCGGCCCTCAGACAAATTTTTGTTGGCCCTCAGGCTTCTAGGTGAATTGGCCCAAATTATATGGCATCAATTAGAATTAATTATTTTTTTACTGTAAGTTTTTTGAAAATCTACTTTGATAAAGCTAATATTTTAATATTTAGTGTGTGGTTTTAAGGATCTTAGCGTGAATAAAGACTGATGGTTGATTCTAATGTGTTAAACCTGCACATATTTAAATTTTTCACTGTATTGAGCTCCAGTCTACGGCCCTCGATCCTGTGTTTAGATATGTTGCCCTTGATGAAAAAAGTTTGGACACCCCTGGGTTAAATGATAAAAAGTACCCGTCTACCGTCGAGTGAACACATCCTAATGCTGCGAGGTCCGATGGTTTCTACGAAGTGAAACCGGCTGATGAATCAGGCCACTGAAAAGCAGCACTGGTCACAGACTCAGGCCTGACGGTTGTTGACTAGAGAAAATGCAAAAACTTAAATTTGGAAAAATGTGACAGGTTTGTTTTCGGGAGATGTTATTAGTTTAATGCCACACGGTGGGACATTCTAAACAAGGCAATACCATTTCGATTGAGACAAGCAGGCGACGGATCCTCCAACAGAAAAGTTACTCAGTGCATTTTGAGCGAGCAATGTTTTATTTTTTCCAAAGTCAAGGAAATATAAAACACACGACAGTGAGTTGATGCTCAGAAACAAAGATTCATCACAAAGAAAAGCAAAGTTTCCGTTTGCGTGTTGAGCCTGATTATAAACACAGCAGCCGCGGTGACTTCAGCTGATCACAGATGCACGTCACTTTTGTTGGACACACTTGAAGATAATGCCCCCAGAATCTTTGGCACAGATGTAGTCCAGAGTCACGGAGTTGGGGTAGTCGTTCCAAAGTGTTTCTGTTTTCAGAGAGAGAAATTCTTGGGTTTAGATGCAATAATAATAATAATAATAATAATAATAATAATAATAATAATAATAATAATACATAGAATAAATATAGAGTTAAACAGAAAATAGATTTAAGCACAATTCATGTGTCATTCGTTTATTTATTTTTCAAAATAAAATAAAAAATAAGAAAAAAAAAAAAAAAAAGTTTTTCTTCATTATTTGTCTTCAAAACCAAAATGAAAAAATGGATAATGATTCGTTTTTTCTGTTTTTCGATTTTGTGTTTAAATGAAAAATGGAAAAAACGAATAAAGGCCGTTTCCTGTCTCCATGACTTAAACTGTGATGCCGGACAGGTTTAGTCCTGGTTTAGTCCTGGTTTAGTCCTGGTTTAGTCCTGGTTTAGTCCTGGTTTAGACCTGGTTTAGACCTGGTTTAGTCCTGGTTTAGACCTGGTTTAGACCTGGTTTAGTCCTGGTTTAGACCTAGTTTAGTCCTGGGTTAGACCTGGTTTAGACCTGGTTTAGTCCTGGTTTAGACCTGGTTTAGACCTGGTTTAGACCTGGTTTAGTCCTGATTTAGATCTGGTTTAGTCCTGGTTTAGACCTTGTTTAGACCTGGTTTAGTCCTGGTTTAGACCTGATTTAGACCTGGTTTAGACCTGGTTTAGACCTGGTTTAGTCCTGATTTAGATCTGGTTTAGTCCTGGTTTAGTCCTGGGTTAGACCTGGTTTAGACCTTGTTTAGACCTGGATTAGTCCAGGTTTAGTTCTTGTTTATCCTGGTTTAGACCTGGTTTAGTCCTGATTTAGACCTGGTTTAGTCCTGATTTAGATCTGGTTTAGTCCTGGTTTAGTTCTGGTTTAGTCCTGGTTTAGACCTGGTTACCTGGTTTAGACCTGGTTTAGACCTGGTTTAGTCCTGATTTAGATCTGGTTTAGTCCTGGGTTAGACCTGGTTTAGACCTTGTTTAGACCTGGATTAGTCCAGGTTTAGTTCTTGTTTATCCTGTTCCTGTTTTAGTCTTTTCTGTTTAGTTCACCGTCATCGTTCACCATGAGGCAGTGCTCCACTCCGTCACCATTGTCCGGCTGTGAGCCTGAAGGAGGCCAGTGGGTGTAGTCCCAGGGAGTCCCATCCCTCCAGAACCACCTCCCCTCCTGCAGGAAAACACACGTTTACAACAGCTGAACCCTTCCAGACCTAAAGGCATTTTTAATACATCTGCCCTCGCCTAGATTTTATCTCAATTTTGCTCATAAAACTCCCCCTTTTACCCCCTAATGAAGTGTCATACATCCTTTTTTTTTCAGTACAACCTGTTATTTCACAATCTGCTGCTGTAGTTGTGTCATGTGGCTGTAATAAAAGTTACAAGACTAGAAATACAAATGAAAAAAGAAAATAAAATTCACACTCTTTCATATAAAACACACAGCAAACATGTATAAACAACTTTTTGACTCGTGGGCCACGAAGGGTTCTAAAATTTGACAGAAGGGCCGGACCAGGGGCAGATGGAAGGAGAATCTGCCTCATTAGAGAAAAAAAGTATCCCATGTTATTGAAATATCCCATAACTGAAAATCATTTCAAAGCATTACAACAAAATATCGGTCTTTCAAGTCCCACGGTATTTGCTATTTATTGAAATGATGTTTAAAACACTGACTTCATTATTCAAGTTCGGCGCGCCAGAGTAAAAAGATTAAAGGGCCGCATATGGTAAAAAAAAAAAAAAAAAAAAGCACGGTATGCGCAATTACGCAGACCAATATGCCTAATTTTCTATTTATTTGAGAAATATTGGCTTTTTCAATTCAACAGACGCTCAGAGCATCGACCATTTTGACTCACTACACTCTTTGGCAAAGTTTGGGCCGATCAAAATGGACGGAGCTCAGGAGTTTGGCTCCCCAGGCCCGATTCCTGAGTTTGAGTCCTGATTCCCAAGTTTGTGTTCCAATTCCCAATTCTCGGGTTTGAGTCTTGGCTTCCAAGTTTGAATTACAATTCCCAACTTTGAGTCGTAGGTTCAGATTACCAAGTTTTAGTCCCAGGTCCCGAGTTTGAGTACCGATTCCCGAGTTTGAGTCCCAATTTCCAAGTTTGAATCCCAATTCCCCAGTTTGGGTTCAAATTCCCGATTCTCGAGTTTGAGTCCCGATTCCCAGGTTTGAGTCCCTATTCCCGAGATTGAGTCCCGCGTCCCGATTCCCTAGTTTTAGTCTCGAGTCCCGAGTTTGAGAACTGATTTCCAAGTTTAAATCCTGACACCCAAGTTTGGGTTCAAATTCCCGATTCTTGAGTTTGAGTCCCTGGTCCCAATTCCTGAGTTTGAGTCCCAGATGCCGAGTTTGAGTCCCTGGTCCCAATTCCCAAGTTGGCGTCCCGATTCCCAGGTTTGAGTCTCGAGTCCCGATTCCCGAGCGGTCGACCATTTTGACTCTTTACACTCTTTGGCAAAGTTTGGACCAATCAAAACGGACGGAGCGCAGGAGTTTGGCAGAAAACAAAGTTCCCATTGGACACTCGTTTTCCCGACGTTATTGGAAAGTTATGCATGATTTTATAAAACATATGGTCATGAGCTCTGGGTAGTGACCGAAAGGACGAGATCGCGGATACAAGCGCTTGAAATGAGTTTCCTCCGCAGGGTGTCTGGGCGTCTCCCTTAGAGACAGGGTGAGGAGCTCAGTCACACGGGAGGAGCTCGGAGTAGAGCCGCTGCTCCTCCACGTGGAGAGGAGCCAGTTGAGGCTCGGGCATCTGTTCCGGATGCCTCCTGGACGCCTCCCTAGGGAGGTTCTGGGCATGTCCCACCAGGAGGAGGCCCCGGGGAAGACCCAGGACACACTGGAGGGACTATGTCTCTCGGCTGGCCAGGGAACACCTCGGGGTCGCCCCGGAGGAGCTGGAGGACGTGTCTGGGGTGAGGGAAGTCTGGGAGTCCCTGCTTAGGCTGCTGCCCCCGCGACCCGGCCCCGGATAAGCGGACGAAAATGGATGGATGGATATTTGTCAGTCTCGAATGGTTAAAACGGGACAACGGTCTGAACCTCGTGTGGTCATTTACCTCCACAGAATCCGTCCCGCCGAGTCAAGTCCTACTGTTGCTGCCTGTGGCCGTTTTGATCAAATCCAAGATGAAGTTGTTCTCCTCCAAACTGTGGACGGACGGCAGGTTTGCACCGACAGTGTGGCAGCTTTTCTACGGAATAAAAAAGTTAGGATTTAAATGATCATCACTATTGTTACATAATTAGAACCAGGACTAAACTAGGACTAAACTAGGTCTAAACCAGGTCTAAACCAGGACTAAACCAGGACTAAACCAGAGATAAACCAGGACTAAACCAGGACTGAACCAGGACTAAACCAGGACTGAACCAGGACTAAACCAGAACTCAACCAGGACTAACCCAGGACTGAACCAGGACTGAACCAGAACTAAACCAGGACTAAACCAGAACTGAACCAGGACTAAACCAGGACTGAAGCAGGACTAAACCAGAACTGAACCAGGACTAAACCAGGACTAAACTGGGACTAAACCAGGATTTAATGAGGACTAAACCAGGACTAAAGCAGATCTGAACCAGAACTAAACCAGGTCTAAACCAGAACTGAACCAGGACTAAACCAGGTCTATACCAGAACTGAACCAGGACTAACCAGGACTAAACCAGGTCTAAACCAGAACTGAACCAGGACTAAACTGGGACTAAACCAGGACTAAATCAGGACTTAATGGGGACTAAACCAGGACTAAAGCAGATCTGAACCAGAACTAAACCAGGTCTAAACCAGAATTGAACCAGGACTAAACCAGGACTAATCTTGGGCTAGAACTTGGAATCTATTTAATTTTATTACCTCAGCATCGGTCCAGGTCTTTTTCTCATTAAAGAACTTGAAACAGCGAGAGCCAAACTTACTCCAGCCGTCAGCACAACCTTCATCACAAACAATCAATGCAAATGATGAAAAACAAACATAACATAAAATAACTTTCACTTACCTTGGTCACTTTCCGTCTGCGATCACAAAAAGGAAAAAAAAAGAAATAAATATTAGAAATGAAACTAGTGAAATCGAGAGATTAATTAATTATGATCTGTAATTAATTAATCTAATTAATCTCTTTTAAATCTCACCTAAAAACTATACAACATATAAACCATCAGCCCGTTTGACATTTTAATGTGTTTAATGCAGATTTGCGCAAGTCTCACAGAAACAAAACTTAAAACCACATGGCTAATTTACATAAACTAAGCGAAGAAAAGAAAGAAAGAAAAAAAAAAAAACACTCTTGTGCGCTGATGCGGTTCAGCTTCTGTGGGACTAAAGGACACGACTCAGTGGAATATGAGTGTTCTTTCTGTGACAGAGGGGTGTTCTGCTGACGGTGAGTCTGTTCTGTCTGTGTCACAATGTTTTTAAAGATCAGACATGTGCAGGTTTATCGCAGATTTGGCCGAGAATGGGAATGAACATTACAATTCTTTGCGGGAGCGATGTGTTATTGTCCCAAAAACACATAAAAACAGATTTTATAATAAGGCAACTCACATACAGAAACAGTAAAGCTCGAGATTAAAAATGAGATTAAAACATAATGCGCTAAATATGACTGTAATTAATTAATCACAGTTAACGCAATAATTTGACATCCCCTTTTCATAGACTGTATTTACACAAACCATAAAATGTAACTAAAGTGGTTCTAAAGCCAGAACTAAACCAGGACTAGACTGAACCAACTAGTAGTACTACTATAAATACTTACAGCTCGAGCAGGCAGCAGAGCCACGGCGGCCAAACAGGCCAAGAGCATCGGGAGTCGACGAGCAGCCATCTGAAATAAAAGGTTTAATAAGAGGAGTTTAGATGTGATGAGACAGACTCGAGACTTACCTTCAGAGCCTCTTGAGGGTCACTGTGGCTTTGAGAAGATACAGACGCATTTATAGAATCAGGAGCAGGAAGGAGGGAACTATAACAACAAAACATCAACTGGCTGAAAATGGAAATTCATGAGAAAAATAATTTGAACATTGGTTGCAGATGATCTTTGTGAGTTCCAAGTACTTTGAGAAACACTGCATGATATTCATTAAATCTTATGATCTTGTGACACAAATCAAAGTGATGAGAAACATATTGTGATCATAAATTTTATCATACGGTGATGTAACTACAATTGTTTGCAGTAAGAAGTGCTATTACGCCACACTTCTCGACGGCAGCCTTCTACCTTCTGCCTGCCTATGAAGTGATCCAACTTGTTCCTGCCACTGTGAGTATCGAGCCAGTCCAGTACCAGGCCACATCAGTTTGCCCAACGCTTTCGGTGCGACAACCTACGCCAGTTGTGACAGCACCACTGTACCAGCCCCAAGCTCCACTCACACGGTTCCAAAATCTAGTCAACCACAGCATCACCTAATGTGCCTCAGCACCACCAGCTGCAGTACACTCCTGCTCCCTCCTTACAGCCTGTGCACCAGTCTTCGCAAACTCCGACTGCACAGCCACTGAACCAGCAACAGATCCAAGTCCACCCCCACAACATGCGCCACAACCTGAGCCGCCCTCTTCACTGCAGCCCAAGTACCCCTTGCCTTTCAGTTAGTAATATGATTTAAATGTGTTTATAGATATCAGATGAAAACATAGTTCAGACGTAAGTAAAAGTAATTTATTGTTTTATCATTATTCCTTTCATGTTGTAATTCCAGTACCTGAGCAAGAAAAGCTGTTTTGTGCAAAAAAAAAAAAGCCACAACAGAAATGACCGGCAAGTGAAGAAGAACTACAACGTGAAAGGAATAATGATAAAACAATAAATTACTTTTACTTACGTTTCCAAGCAATCAGCCAAAAGGACTGAAGACAAGACATTAAAGCTCCAAGAATACGTTCCTGTGTCCGTTTACTCTCTGCCCAGTCCTCCTAGCTATCTTCAATAACAATCTTAAACCAGGATCTTCTTCATTGTGTCAAAGACATAACCTACCTTCAGGTGGAAGCCCCGGCGATTCTGTTGCGATCTATATCGATTCATCTCAATGCACCGGGCTCCTTTTTTGGGGCCATTCTGTGTAAGTTTTGTATTTTAAAAGAAACTGCTGTGACCACGTCCTTTTTAAGATCCGAAATAATATTTACTGCCATGTGAACAGAGTGCTTTGGCTCTTTGTTGTGAAGACGTTTACGGTGAAGTCAGCTCCCACACTGCAAAAAAACCAAACAAAATCTAGTCAAGTCAAGGGCCTGTTTACACAAGAACACTTGTGGGTAAAAGCAATAAAATATTTGATCAGAAGTGCCTTTCATTTAGACGGAGACGGCATTTTTGGGGCTTAAAAATGCAAAAACCTGAAACCAGCTGCAGTACACTCCTGCTCCCTCCTTACAGCCTGTGCACCAGCCTTCGCAAGCTCCGACTGCACAGCCACTGAACCAGCAACAGATCCAAGTCAGTCTCCATAACGTGCTCCACAACCTGAGCCACCCTCTTCACTGCAGCCCAAGTACCATCTGTCTCCATCTTGCTTTCCTTCTCCCGATCCCCCAGTTCCAGTACCTGAGCAAGAAAAGCAGTTTTGTGCTGGCGGGAGTCAAATCACCTTTGACTCATCAGTACCAGATAACCTTGTCCAAGAATCAGTTGGCCCAGCCCTTCCTGTGCAACAACCTACGCCAGTTGTGACAGCACCAGTGTACCAACCCCAAGCTCCACTCGCACAGTTCCAAAATCTTGTCAACCAAAGCATCATCTAATGGAAGACTGTCCAAGAAACAAATGAAGACCGGACTATGACGTTGTATAAGACTACAACGGGATCAAAACAAGACTAAACCAGGACTAAACCCAAAAACATCTAAGGCCCCGTTTACACGTACATGGGTATTTTTAAAAACGGAGACATTTCCCTTTGTTTGTTCACGTCGTTTACATGCAAACAACAAATTCACCTCTGAAAACGAATCTTTCTAAAAACTCCGGCTAGAGTGGAGATTTTGGAAAACTCCGGTTTTACGTTTACGTGTAAACTGACATAAATGGAGTTTTAGGAGCTGACGCGCCAAAAGTGCGACCAATGTTTTACCTTTTACTATGATGATCACAGTGTGCGAAAAACACGGGGAGCAAAATTTAGTAAAAAAAAAATATATATATATATATATATATATATATATATATATATATGTGTGTATATATATATATATATATATATATATATATATATATATATATATATATATATATATATATATATATATATATAGATAGATAGATAGATAGATAGAGTCTAGACACCGTCCCATACGAACCTGGACAGGATAAGACTGATGTTCCTTCAATTGCGAAAGGAATTTATGTTCCCCTTAACACCGTGGACTCTCCTCATCTAAAGTTATCACCATGAACTCATAAAACAGCAGCATGTAGCCTAGAACTTTGTACAAACTCACCGCACATCAGCCCGGAGCAGAAGCTCTGACTTTGGGTAACAGCGCAACACACGGGAGCAGATACCGTAGTACGCAGGGTCCAGTGTTGGTCAGATCGGTCTGGAGGCTCCGTCTTCCATGTCCTGGTTCCAGACGGGGACGAGCGAGACCAGCGCACAAAGGACTGGGTCCGAGGGGTTGCGCGTCGTCGTCTGCGCTGGTCTCTGCTGGTTCCGTTTGGGGAAAGTGAGAATGCGCTGTGGACTGCAGGTCCGGGCGGGCTGCTCCTGTCCTCCGCGCTCGACTGCGGCTGGTTCCGAGTTGGTGCAAAGCATCCGGACAGAAATGTGAATCCCGTTTGGTTTGTTATATATATGAACAAGGACTCGGAGGTCAGTGATTTTGCCACTTCTTTAACAGATCTGTGGAGAGGCGAGCCGCTCACTAATTCACATTTTTTAAGGTATTTTTGAGTAAAACTTACAACTGTAAAGAAATAAATGCTACAGGTTTGAATCTGATCCAGGTGCCGCCCAGAGTCTCTGCGTAGTTCTAATGGGCTCGATGGTGTATTTATGTGGGTTGATGTAAACTTAAAACTTTTTTGAAAACGATGCTGTGTGCACGATGTTATTTTGGAAAACGGAGGGAGGGAAATATTCATTTTTCAAAATACCCTGCCATGTGTAAACATAGCCTAAGACCTAAAGTACCAGATCTACCAAGTACCAACCAAGAGTAAAAAAGAGCTGAATTAAACTCAGACTAAACCAAAAATAAATGGCTAATACTGGTTAAAAAAAACAAAAAACAAAAACGATTGACTTTACCATTTCCAGAACTTCACTTAAAGCTATTTATGTATTACTTATTTTTAGTTTAGTTTCTTTAAATGTTCACTATGTACCTTTTATGGTGGAGGACTGGTTTGCCTGGAATATTTATGGAATTTGACATATTTATCTACATTGGAACCAGCAGGTGACGCCACAAGGCCAAGTTACAAGTCAAATCTCTGGAGGTAAGAAATGATGTTTTTCAAGGCGTCTTTGAGCAACAAAAACACCTGTAATTAAATGATTGCTAAAAAGACGTGTGTCATACAATATTGTACAAAATCAGTAGCATCATGGACACAAAATCCACCAAATTTTTGGGCATCATTATCGATGATAATCTATATTGGACAGAGCATGCTGATTGGGTGACCAGAAAAAACAAATCTCTTGGTATTATAAGAAAAGTCTGTAAATTTCTGGATTCAAAGTTTATACTTACATTATACTATAGTTTAATTTATCCATATCTGTCATATTGTAATAGAATCTGGGCTGCACTTTTTCTACTCTGAACAAAATATTATTGGTGCAAAAACATTTTGTTCGAATTGCAACTCGTTCTATGCCACTAACATCGTCTGCTCATTTATTCACCAAACTTAATATTCTTAATATTAATGGGATTAATATTTATCAAATTTGTATTTTTATGTATAAAATTCTTTACAGTTCAACAACGACCCCTAAACATTTCACATTTTATTTTAAAACCAATGCAGAGATTCATAGATACAAAACTCGTCAAATGCATCATTTTCATGTTCCAAAATTTGTCACATCAAGAGCTCAGTTTTGTGACGATACAGAGACGGGAAATTCAGGAGTCAGTTTTCACATCTGGTTAGTGACGCAGATCAGAGGAGTTGTTTTAAAACAGTTTGAGGAAATGTTTGATATTTCATGCTAATGTTTGATCATCTTTCAATTGTGGATGTTTTATTGTGTTTTAATCCATGTTTGAATCAAAAGAATTTAATGCATGGTGTTTAAATGTTAAATGTCATTTATTTTGGGTTTTTTGCCTCTTCCGGCACCTACTTTTTATCTAGTGTGTTTCTTTTTATTGTTATGTTATATGTGCACACAGAGGTTTTAAATGAGTAATTTGTATTTTTTCCCAAAAGAAACAGAGAAATACAAGGTGATGAAAATTTAAAAAAGCAAAAGCTCCATCTGGGCGTTCAGCATTAGAAACAGAGGTCATGACAGATTACAGGTGCAGGACTAAACAGAGTCAGGAGCCCAGGCCTGATCCGACATCGACAAAGAGACACGGCAACATGATTACGCTTAGTGCACTGCCTTAAAGTGCACATGACAAGTTAGACTACACATTTAATTAAAATATAGTGAACATTATTATTTATCCCTTAGTTTGAAAATGTTTGTCTAGTTTATGATTTTACTTCCTGATTGGACATGGTCAGTAAATGTAACATGTGCAGCAGTAATTTCATAACCCAGCAACAGCTCGAAGTTTCGCAGCTCATCTAAGCAGCTGGGTCAATTGTCAACTTTGTCCAGTTGACCAATTGAATTTCTCCATTGCCATAAAAAAGTAAAAAAAAAACAAAAAACAAAACAGGAACCATGTCTTTGCATCTGAATGTTATTTGCCCTCTCCAGTTGTACGAGGGGCATTTTTCGCTTCGCAGTTTTTTTGTAACAAAATTATATATTTTTCCCAAAATTAAATTAAACGGATCTTAAACGGAGCCTACGAGGCCTGATAGGACTCCTTCTTCAGCCTGACGGCATCCCTTACTTTTTGGGTCCACCACCGGGTTTGGAGATTTCCACCACAACAGGCACCACAGACGTTACGCCCACAGCTACGAGCGGCCGCATCGACAATAGAGGCTGAGAACGAAGCCCAAGTCCCCAGCCTCCCCTGGATTTGCGCGTTGAAAGTCCCCCTGCTTGGACCTGCCAGGTCTTTCCAGCTTCCTCCGCCAGCAGATCCAAATCACCATCAGGTGGTGATCAGTTGACAGGTTGTGTACTGATTTACACTCTTGTGTTGGAACATGGTGTTTGTTATGGACAAACTGTGACTAGTACAGAAGTCCAATAACAGAACAGCACTCGGGTTCAGATCAGGGAGGCTGTTCCTCCCAATCACCCCTCCCCAAGTGTCACTGTTGTTGCCCACGTGGGCGTTGAAGTCCCCCAGAAGAACAACGGAGTCCCCGGTCGGCGCACTGTCTAGTACCCCTCCCAAGGACTCCAAGAAGGCCGTGTACTCTGCACTGCTGTTCGGCCCGTAGGCCGACACCACAGTGAGAGACCTGTCCCTGACTCGAAGGCGCAGGGACGCGACCCTCTCGTTCACCGGGGTGAACTCCAACACACAGCGACTGAGCTGTGGGGCAATGAGCCCACACCAGCCCGCCGCCGCTCCCCGCGGCCAACGCCAGAGAAAGAGAGTCCAGCCCCTCTCAAGGAGTTGGGTTCCAGAGCCCAAACTGTGTGTGGAGGTGAGGTCGACTATATCTAGTTGGTAACACTCAACCTCCAGCACAAGCTCCAGGTCCTTCCCCCCAGCGAGGTGACATTCCATGTCCCCAGAGTCTTCATGTCCTGAGATCCATCATCAAGGCCCCTGCCTGTGACTGCTGCCCAGATCTCTTTGCACCGGCTCCTTACAGATCCTCCTGCGGGTGGTGGGTTCATGGGAGGACAGCCTAACTTTGCTCCTTCAACAACATAGCTCCCGGGATCATTCAGACACTCAAACCCCTCCACCACGTTAAGGCGGCAGTTCAAGGTGGGGATGACGAGACACACACAAATTTGAATCACTTGTTGCAGTTGGGCCCAACAGAATCACACAAACTTTCATGTGTGGAGAAAAAAAGTAAAGAGGAACAGAGATGTCTCGTACCGGTCCAGTAGGCAGCGCAGTGTTCTCCTCCAGCATTGTCTGGCTGGTTAGGATACCAACGGCTGTAGTCCCAGCGAGTTCCATCACTCCAGAGCCAACTCCCCTCCTGTAGGAAAACACACAAGTTTAAACAGTTTAAGACAAGAGTCTGAAGATCATGTGGAAATGTGCATGTGACCATTTACCTGCACAGCATCAGACCCACCGAGCCAGGTGCGAGTGTCGCCCCCTGAGGCCGTTTTGATCAAATTCACGATGAAGTTGTGCTCCTCCAAACTGTGGATGGAGGGCAGGTTTGCACAATGTTCGTGGCAGCTTTTCTGTGGAATAAAGAATTATTAAAACCATGTCCAGAGCAGGAAAACTCTCAAAATCAAGCAGCTGAAGGCAATGATATGCAAATCAAGAAGGTATCTCACAAAATGACTCTCTAGCGCTCCCCTGAAATTGAATTTTTTTTTAAATTCATAAGACACTCTATTTGTTGTGTTCTTCTGAAAAAAATCACAGGAGGCTCATATGTGACAAAGTCAAATGATCATTGTGTTTTAGAAGAAAAACAATGGTTGAAACAGTTTTTTTCATTATTAAATGATCCGTACAAAACGTATTTACTGTCTTGATCTGCGGCTCCAAACTAATACAAAAATTTGGATAAGTTAAAATAATGTGTTGACTTGAGTCAGACCCTGTGGAACATTTTACACAATGACGTCCTGAACACAATGAATCATTTATAAGGATTTGATATAAAACTGCTCTACAGCGCCTCCTGGAAAATTACAGTAGTGTCCAAAAATAAAGTTTGTCGTGGTCATGTCAAATAGATTCTCCACATTTTACTGAACAAAAAAGTTCATGAGAACATGCCCCTGTCTCCAACCCGACACTGACAGAAAATGTGTCACTGGGACGAGTGGAGTCGTGGAGGATCTGCAGAGTTTTGGGGAGAGACGCTGTAGGTGACACAGACTCTTTGAAGTGGCATGTACGCTTTTGTTCCCTTTATTTTTATTACACTTATTATCAACATTAATAGTTGTTTTATTACCTCAGCATCGGTCCAGGTCTTTTTCACATTAAAGAACTTGAAACAGCGAGAGCCAAACTTACTCCAGCCGTCAGCACAACCTTCATCAGAAACAATCAATGCAAATGATGAAAAACAAATATGATGTAAAATAACTTTCACTTACCTGGGTCATCTTCTGCCTGTGATCAGAAAATACATAAAAACAATTAGAAACATCTTTTCATAGGCCACATTTATACAAACCATAAAAAGTTGGGACTAAAGTGGCACTAAACCTGGAAAAAACCCTGGACTAGACCGAACTGACCATATACGTACTGTATATATGTATATAGTAGTATAAATACTTACAGCTCGAGCAGGCAGCAGAGCCACGGCGGCCAAACAGGCCAAGAGCATCAGGAGTCGACGAGCAGCCATCTGTAATAAAAGGTTTAATAAGAGGGTTTTAGATGTGATGAGACAGACTCGAGACTTACCTTCAGAGCCTCTTGAGGGTCACTGTGGCTTTGAGAAGATACAGACGCATTTATAATCAGGAGCAGGAAGGAGGGAACTATAACAACAAAATATCAACTGTCTGAAAGGGGAATTCAGGAGAAAAATTATTTGAGTATTGCTCACAGATCTGGGTGAGTACTTTGACAAACACTGCATGGTATTCATTAAATTTTATGATCTAGTGAGGCAAATCAAAACACCCAGAGTGTCCAAGAACCAAATTAAGGCCAGACTATATCAAGACTAAACCAGGACTAAACCAAAAAAACATCTAAGACCTAAAGGACCAGATCCAAAGACAAAAACAAGAGTAAAACGGAGCTGAAAACTGAACTCAAACTAAACTCAGACTAAACCATAAATAAATGGCTAAAACTGTAAAAAAAAAAAAAAAAAAAAACTAAAATGATTTATCTTTTGTTTAGTTTCTTTAAATGTTCAGTATGTACCTTTTATGGTGGAGGACTGGTTTGCCTGGAATATTTATGGAATTTCACATATTTATCTACATTGGAACCAGCAGGTGACGCCACCAGGCCAAGTGTTTTTGAGCAACAAAAACACCTGTAATTAAATGATTGCTAGAAAGACACGTGTCATACAATATTGTACACGGCTCACTTCTGGGCTAATTATAAAAAATCCAGTTTGCAAAGACTGCAGGTGCCTACAATGAGGCTTTACGGAGCTTTTGAGGAGCCGCGATGGACGAGTGCGACTGAAATGTTTGTTACTGCATGAGTGAACATTTTGCCAGCTGCACTAAGAATTTTAATGTACAGTTTTATCTGCAGACTCAACAAATCAGACGATGAAATAATAATTTCATTCACAAATTTGAGATTCAGTGCAGTAAGATCAGTTCAGTATGTGGAGACACCGGTGTGGTTGTCTTTTAAAAGCGTAAATGTTAATTGTTTTGTCACTGTCCTTGTCTGTTTTTAAAATGGACCATGAGTCCGGAATAAAGATGATGATGATGATGATGATGATGTATAGAATCAGTAGCATCATGGACACAAGCAGGTGATGGACTCCCAGATAAAAAGTCACACAGAGGCCCTTTTAAATGAGTAATGTTGTATTTTTTTCCAAAGAAAAAGCAAAAGAGGATGCAGAACACACAGTTGAGACTCAGAAACAAAGTTTAATCACAAAGAAAAACCAAAGCCTCATGTGGGCGCTCAGCTTGATGACAAACAGTAGATTTGGTGATGTAGTTGATCACAGATGCAGTGGTCACTTCTTTGCAGGGCTGCACTGGCAGGCGAAGCCCTCCAGAGTCAGGATCCCACCCTTGGGTTTCAGTGAAAACCGAGGAAGAGCTTTGGCACAGATGTAGCTCAGTTTCACGCGCTGTTTGGAGCATCATTCCACAAACCCCCTGTTTTCAAACAGAGAAATGTGTGAATAATCCTCACATAATAATGGTAAATGGTCACATTTTTCTATAGCGCTTTTCCACCTTCAAGACTCAAAGTGCTTTACAACAAGGAACCACTCACCCATTCACACACACATTCATACACCAGTGCACACAGACACTGTGGGCAAGGTGGGTTAAGTGTCTTGCCCAAGGACACAACGGCAGCATTCATCTGTGGGAGCTGGAATCACACCAGCCAAACCTGTGGGTCAGTGGATCTGACCACTCAACCTGTGATGTTTATGTCGAGAGCTGGAATCAAACCACCAACCTTCAGATCAGTGGGCGAATGCTCCACCAACTGAGCTACTGCCGCCCATAATGCAGTCTAATTTTTTTTTTTGCCAGGCCCAACCAGCTGAGCAGGACTACAGATCTGATCTGACATCGACAAAGAGACACGGCAACATGATTACGCTTAGTGCACTGCCTTGAAGTGCACATGAAAAGTTAGACTACACATTTAATTTAAATGTAGTAAACATTATTATATTTGAACATTTTTATGATTTTACTCCCTGGTTGGACATGAGCAGCAAATGTGACCCATACCCAACAGTAATTTAACCGAGCAACCAAAATGTAAAGGGACAAACTTGGTGTTGTCAGACTAATAAAAATAAATATCAACATCTTTATTTTGTTACATCAGTGTTTAAACTGTGTAAATTGTTTCTGCATTTTGGATGATCCCTGAGGGATTGTTTGTTTTGCAGTTTTTTTTTGTTTTTTGTAACAAAATTGTAGCTTTTTCACAAAATGTAACTTTGGCCTCTTCTCTTTGTTATTCTAATGTTACAATCACCAAATCTCACAAATTGTCCTGTTTTTAACACATGACTCCTTCATCAACTCCTTGGGCATTTGTCTCAAATTTTGTGAAAATGTTCTGGAAGAGTGGGGCAGCAAAAGTTATCCATATTTTTTGGATATGATTTAGTCTTTACAGGTCCAGAATGTTGAGACATTTACACAAAGACAAATTTCCTCAAAGTTGAATCACTTGTTGCAGTTGGGCTCAACAGAATGACACAAACTTTCACGTGTGGATTAAAAAAGTAAAGAGGAATAGAGAAGTCTCGTACCGCTCCAGTAGGCAGCGCAGTGCTCGTGGCCTTGTTCATTGTTTGGCTCGTTAACAAGCCAACTGGTGTAGTCCCAACGAGTTCCATCACTCCAGAACCACTTCCCCTCCTGTAGGAAAACACACACGTTTAAACAGTTTAAAACAGGACAAGAGTCTGATGATCATGTGGAAATGTGCATGTGACCATTTACCTGCACAGCATCAGACCCACCGATCCAGGCGTGGTTGTCGCCCCCTGTGGCTGAATTTATCAAATCCTTGATGAAGTTGCTCTCCTCCAAACTGTGGATGGAGGGCAGGTTTGCACCAAGATCGTGGCAGCTTTTCTATGAAATAAAGAGTTATTAAAACCACTAATCAAAATGTGGTATTTGGCTTTTTTTATAAAATGTCAAATGTGGGTGTGACTCTCCTGCAAAAGTGGTCATTTTGAAGTATCAAAACTTGGATAAGTTAAAATAATGTGTTGACTTGAGTCAGACCCTGTGGAACATTTTACACAATGACGTCCTGAACACAATGAATCATTTATAAGGATTTGATATAAAACTGCTCTACAGCGCCTCCTGGAAAATTACAGTAGTGTCCAAAAATAAAGTTTGTCGTGGTCATGTCAAACAGATTCTCCACATTTTATTGAACAAAAAAGTTCATGAGAACATGCCCCTGTCTCCAACCCTGACACTGACAGAAAATGTGTCACTGGGACGAGTGGAGTCGTGGAGGATCTGCAGAGTTTTGAGGAGAGACGCTGTAGGTGACACAGACTCTTTGAAGTGGCATGTACGCTTTTGTTCCCTTTATTTTTATTACACTTATTATCAGCATTAATAGTTGTTTTATTACCTCAGCTTCGGCCCAGGTCTTTTGATCATTAAAGAACTTGAAACAGCGAGAGCCAAACTTACTCCAGCCGCTACAACAGCCTTCATCAGAAACAATCAATGCAAATGATGAAAAACAAATATGATGTAAAATAACGTTGACTTACCTGGATTATTTTCTGCCTGTGATCAGAAAATGTATAAAAACAATTAAAAATTAAACGAGATGGTTTAATAAATATGTACTGTATATAGTAGTATAAATACTTACAGCTCGAGCGGACAGCAGAGCCACGGCGGCAAAACAGGCCAAGAGCATCAGGAGTCGACGAGCAGCCATCTGAAATAAAAGGTTTCGATGTGAATGCATCAAGAGGGTTTAGATGTGATGAGACAGACTCGAGACTTACCTTCAGAGCCTCTTTAGGGTCACTGTGGCTTTGAGAAAATACAGACGCATTTATAGAGTCAGGAGCAGGAAGGAGGGAATAAAACCATCAATTGTTTGAATGAGGAAATTTTAATAATGAGTTTTTAATGAGTATTGGCTGCATCACTGTATCTTTGACGGGCTTTTCCAGTTCCAAGTTAAAACAACAACAACAAATTATAAATAATTAAAGGCGCGGTAACCCCATCTGAAACTACACTCATTGGAATTTCTGATAACTGAGCCACACCAGCAGGAAATGCAGGTAAGTTGAGTTTATTCTCATATGTGAGCTTTTAGAGGTTTGAAACACAACTGTTGCTCTTGTAGTGTCATTTGTGCACTAAACTAAAACAGTGCCCAATGCAGTGTGGAGGCAAAACTTCTGAAAAGCTGCAGACTCACCGATGTTCATCCAAGCCTCAGTTAAAAACATAGACTCTTTATATAAATGGACATAACAAACCTGCTCATGTGTCACACAGTGAGTAGCAACCAAGTGCCCACAGGAGCAGGCCCACGGCAGGAGAAATATCAACAGTTAGAAGATAGTTTGTGTACTTCTGAGGAATTTAAGAGGACCAAGAAAAAGAAAGGACATGTGTCACTTGAGGCTGCGTTCAGACTGCAGCCTCAAGTGACACGTGTCCGATTTTTCCCCCTATATGACCTGTATCCGATCTTTTAATGACAGTCTGGACGACACAGATCCGATTTTTACCAGATCCTCGAAGGGTTGACCAGGTTTTGTATTCACCCTGTGTCTGTGTCTGTCCACCTGCGATAATTCCACCAATTATGAACCGATTGTCACCAAATTTGGTACGTGGGTCGAGCCCCCGTGCCCGATGCCGCAAAAAAGGTTTGGTGATGATCCAAGGTCATTTGAGGTCACATAGGTCAATCGAAAGGTCACGCTATTATAAAGGATCAGCAATTTCTGAACCATCTACGGCCTAAAATATTCACCCAATCATCACACAAGTTGACACAAACATAACCAGGGCACACTGGATCTTGCAGGTTCAAACCGGTCAAGGTCACTTGAAGGTCAAGGTAACCAAGGTTAAATATGTGTTGTTGAGCTGACCGGACACGTCACAACAACATCGCATGACTCTGAGGAAGAGCGCGAGTGAGCAGTCGAAACTGTCAGGAATGAAAACAAACTCTTGGTCTGAAAAAAGAACCTAATAACATAAAACTTACGTACATTAAAGTAGATTAAACCCACATGAATGAATTATATACAGTAGATCGGCTCATAATGTAAACAGAAGGCTCAAGTAAATATAATATTTACACGTATAATAATAAGTGTGTGTTTGTAACCTCAGACACTTATGGTGCAGTCACACTAGGACTTTAGCACCGTGCCCAAGCACGGATCTCCGTTACTCGTACGAGAAATACAGTGAATAAAGTCGGCTCTAAAACATACAGTGACTCTGCGCTCACCTTCAGTGACTGTGTCACACAGACGTTTATCTGCGTCTCGTCTCCGACTCTCATCACTGCTCCACTCTGTTTTTATCTCCATAAACTCATGGAGGAGTGTGTATCATAAGAGGACGCACATCTGCCTCACAATTGAATAGATATTTCTGCCTCTGGACTTATTTTCTCTGCTAAAGCGTTCGCTCTGCTGCCACATGTAAACAAACAGCGCCGTGTGATGATGTCACTGGCAGTGGCCCGGTTCGGTTGTGCAGGTGTGAGTGCAGAACACAGAACTCACAGCAATCCAGTGTAACCTTTTATTTCCACACTGCCGTCATTTTAAAGAAGGCACCAGATCACCGTGTCACACACCACTATTCAACCGGACTTTTAACTCACTCCACTGAAAGCTGAATGTGGCTTTCTTGTAATATTTGTCTGAATATATATGGTTGCTGAATATTCTGTGCATCCCTCCCCAACACTGTTTCAAACAACCAGCTTCTGTGTTGTCTTGTCACTGCTTGTGTAACAGTCGAGTCTCTGTTCATTAAAAGATTAATGTCTTGATGCACATCCATTAACCCTTATTATATATGTGTGTTGTGTTCTTGAGTACTGCACCGGGTGAAGGAAGGACCATGAGACACTGGTGATACTGGATACACCTTTACTGACGATTCTGCACAAATGAAAGAAAAATACAAATCCTTGTCACATGTTTCCCCATGCACACAACTCATCTGTCCCTCCTCAGTGGCGCTGGGCAGACTGAGAGGCGCTGATGTGCAGCACGTAACCCACGTTGCTCTTAAAGGGACAGTACAGGCAAAATGTGCAACTCTTACTAACAAATAATAACATTGGGAAATAGGCTAAAACCTGCCTGAAACCATGATATAATGATAGAAATTTAAATTAAGTGAAGGATTTGGTGAAATTCTAAAAAAAATGGGTACACTTGTACTGTTGGATTGGTTGATTTGGTTGAATTGGTTGATTTGGTTGGATTGGTTGATTTATGTTGATTTCGTTGATTTGGTTGGATTGGTTGATTTGGTTGGATTGGTTGATTTATTGGTTGATTTGGTTGATTTGGTTGGATTGGTTGATTTGGTTGATTGGTTGATTTGGTTGATTTGGTTGGATTTGGTTGATTGGTTGATTTGGTTGGATTTGGTTGGATTTGGTTGATTTGGTTGGATTGGTTGATTTGGTTTGATTTGGTTGATTTGGTTGGATTGGTTGATTTGGTTGATTTGGTTGGATTGGATTGGTTGATTGGTTGATTTGGTTGGATTGGTTGGATTGGATTGGATTTGGTTGGATTGGTTGATTGGTTGGATTGGTTGATTGGTTGATTTGGTTGATTTGGTTGATTGGTTGATTGATTTTGGTTGATTTGGTTGATTGGGTTGATTTGGTTTGGATTGGTTGGTTGGTTGATTTGGTTGATTTGGTTGGATTGGTTGATTTGGTTGGATTGGTTGATTTGGTTGATTTGGTTGGATTGGTTGATTTGGTTGGATTGGTTGATTGGTTGGATTGGTTGATTGGTTGGATTGGTTGATTTGGTTGGATTGGTTGATTTGGTTGATTTGGTTGGATTGGTTGATTGGTTGATTGGTTGATTTGGTTGGATTGGTTGGATTTGGTTGATTTGGTTGATTTGGTTGGATTTGGTTGATTTGGTTGGATTGGTTGATTTGGTTGATTGGTTGATTGGTTGATTTGGTTGATTTGGTTGATTTGGTTGGATTGGTTGATTTGGTTGGATTGGTTGATTTTTGGTTGATTTGGTTGATTTGGTTGATTTGGTTGATTTGGTTGGATTGGTTGATTTGGTTGGATTGGTTGAATTGGTTGGATTGGATTGGTTGATTTGGTTGATTTGGTTGGATTGGTTGATTTTGGTTGATTGGATTGGTTGAATTTGGTTGATTGGTTGATTTGGTTGATTGGTTGATTGGTTGATTTGGTTGATTTGGTTGGATTGGTTGATTTGGTTGGATTGGTTGATTTGGTTGATTGGGTTTGATTTGGTTGATTTGGTTGGATTGGTTGATTTGGTTGAAAATGTTGATTTATGTTGATTTGGTTGAATTGGTTGATTTGGTTGGATTGGTTGATTTATGTTGATTTATGTTGATTTGGTTGATTTGGTTGATTTGGTTGAGAATGACAGTGAACTTTTTTGAGCTACAGCTACAAACTTTTGTGACTTTTGTCATGAATGAGGTGTGGCTCTTCTTGTTTCATAACTTTCATACCAAACCTCTGACTGTAGGTCACGTTTTAAATTCTGAAATAAAGAGCCATCCAAAAAAAAACATTCTTTTATAATAATTAAGAAGAAATAAAAACTGCACGCAGGGTTAAAGGGCCCTCACAGCACATATAATGGAACAGATTCAAACTAACAAAAACCTTTGAACGCTGGCTCTTGTTGGGGTGTCTGTGCTTCTGTGTTGGGCAGCTGATACATATTGTTGATCAGTAACATGATCTCATATTCTGTTATAATTTACTGGAGAAGAATTGGGGAGCTCTATAGTTTTGTTTTACTGTATGGAGCTCAACAGTGACTGCCCACGTACCGTTCATTTTTCTCAAAGACTTTCCAAAAAATGGCAGCACTGTGCATTTTAAACAGCCTTTTTGAACTAAAAACAGTTGTGTTTAGTATTAGTTGGCATGTAGCCGTTTAGCCTCTGCAATATCAAACTCTTACGTGCGGTTACTGTGACGATACTAACACATTTGTATTACCTTTATAACACATTTGAATAATGAAGTTTTTAATAAGTATTGGCATCATCTTTATATCTTTGACAGGTTTAATAGAGTGAGTCATCACTTGAATAAAATGACTAATTATAAAAGGCGTTGTAACTTCATCTGAAGCAAGACTTATTGGAATTCTTTGACAACAGAGCCAGAAAAGCAGGAAATGGCACTTTTGCGTTCAAACTAAGTGCAGTCACTAACTACGTAATACAACTCCAATACTTCACAGGTGAGTTGAGTTTATTCTTGTATATGAGCAGTCGAGGTTTGAAACACAACTTTGGCTCTTGTAATAGGATTTGTACACAAAACTGAACAGTGTCACATTAAATTCATTCAATTTCACCCTGACTATTCCTAAAACTACTGCAGCTTCACCACATCAACTTGTGTAATCACCATAGAGAATTAGAAAACAGATACAAAAAAATAGTCTGATCATATACCCTATTTTTCAGACTATAAGGCCCAATTTTTTTCATAGTTTGAGTGTTTCCTGTGACTTACACTTCGGTGCGACTTAGGCTACATTTTTATGATGACAGTCTGAACAAAAGACGTAAAAGTGACTTTGCGTCTTCATTTTTATTCCACGTTTAGAAAAGCGTTTTCAGGAGGAAATCTGCGTGCGAAAGTGTGTGGAATTCGATTGTGTGTTCATGTCATCCGACATGTTTGTTTCTGTGTTCTGTATGTATGTGACCTGAGCAGATCTGAAGAGTTTTGTGTCTTGGGCAGCGAGGTCCCGTTTCGTAAGCGAGAGAAGACAAACAGACTGAGCTGCACTTTCTTGTTCTTGTGGTTTTACAGCAACATCACGTCTTGGTCTCTTTGCAGTGGAAGGTGTTTCTTGGTGAACAGCTGGTGCCTTTCGCTTTGGCGTTGACTTTTTTAAATTCATAACTGAGGTGGAGCGAGGGATCAGGATTTTGTTTTGTTGGCGCTCCACATACAAAATGTTCGCTGCAAACTCGGGATGATTTAGGCAGTGAAATGTTTCCTTTTTGGTTCTTCCTGTGGATCAATCCTGCCCATCGTCTTCACCTTTCACTATTTTTCAATTCCGTTGGGAAGAGAAACAGTTTGGACAGAGGTTTGAGTCACACACATCTGTTTCCCTTTTGCAGTTATGGAGTTCGCAAACACATTTCTACAGCCGTTTTCCGCTGTTAGGATCCAACAGCCACACAATTACGATGTCCAAATCCCAAAACTAAAATATGACAATATCAGAACCAGAAACAAAAGTGATATGGTTCAAAAGACTCGAAAAGATCGACTCTGACAATAGATGCATCCCACTGGGAAAACAAACATGGCTGTTTGATGCTCACTTTTTCGGAAAATTCTTCCCAGTATGAATTGCGCAATGAACGGAAGTTCGAGGTCCTTGATGCATCTATTCTGCGCTGTTTGAGCTGGCTGTGGTCCTCAGTACGCATGTGCAAACCTCTAAAACAACAAGCTGGCTTCTACAGTTGTAAAAGAGCATGTAGAAAGCACAGACTGTAAGCTGCGCTTTCAACATGTGCCTCCAGGCCTCTGTAGAAGGGCAAAACAACACGGGACGGCCGGAACTGCGGTTGTTGCAGTTTTGCTCAGTGACCAGAAAGCCGTGGGCTGCAGCCTGTGAAGGTCGGGTCCTTTGCAGCCTTTGAAGGACCCGGCCTTCGTAGCTTTCGAAGGCTGCAGCCCTCAAATTGGGACATGGCTTTAGATTAAAGGTTTACAGGTCTTGATCTGAAGCTATAGAAGGTAGACCACAAGTGTGAACTAAATAAATAGTTACTGAACTAGCAGGTACACTAGGTACACACTAATCAAAATGTGGTATTTGGCTTTTTTATAAAATGTCAAATGTGGGTGTGACTCTCCTGCAAACGTGGTCATTTTGAAGTATCAAAATTTGGATAAGTTAAAATAATGTGTTGACTTGAGTCAGACCCTGTGGAACATTTTACACAATGACGTCCTGAACACAATGAATCATTTATAAGGATTTGATATAAAACTGCTCTACAGCGCCTCCTGGAAAATTACAGTAGTGTCCAAAAATAAAGTTTGTCGTGGTCATGTCAAATAGATTCTCCACATTTTATTGAACAAAAAAGTTCATGAGAACATGCCCCTGTCTCCAACCCTGACACTGACAGAAAATGTGTCACTGGGACGAGTGGAGTCGTGGAGGATCTGCAGAGTTTTGAGGAGAGACGCTGTAGGTGACACAGACTCTTTGAAGTGGCATGTACGCTTTTGTTCCCTTTATTTTTATTACACTTATTATCAACATTAATAGTTGTTTTATTACCTCAGCTTCGGTCCAGGTCCTTTTATCATTTAGAAATTTGAAACAGCGAGAGCCAAACTTACTCCAGCCGTCAGCACAGCCTTCATCAGAAACAATCAATGCAAATGATGAAAAACAAATATGATGTAAAATAACTTTCACTTACCTGGGTCATCTTCTGCCTGTGATCAGTGCATGCATAATGCATAAAAACAATTACAAATTCAACCAGATGATTTAATAAATTTGTACTGTATATAGTAGTATAAATACTTACAGCTCGAGCAGGCAGCAGAGCCACGGCGGCCAAACAGGCCAAGAGCATCAGGAGTCGACGAGCAGCCATCTGAAATAAAAGGTTTCTATGTTAATATATTAAGAGGGTTTTAGATGTGATGAGACAGACTCGAGACTTACCTTCAGAGCCTCTTTAGGGTCACTGTGGCTTTGAGAAAATACAGACGCATTTATAGAGTCAGGAGCAGGAAGAAGGAAATAAAACCATCAATTGTTTTGAATAAGGAAATTCATATCAGGAGTTTTTGTGATGCCGCCACATCTTCGTATCATTCATATCTTTGTCTAACAGGTTTGCACAACTGGAACTGTCCTATACTTTCCAGCTTCCTGTTCAAAGTGCATCTACAGGTCAAGAATGAAAGCTCTGCAACAATGGCTTAACCCAAATGTGTTGTTTTTGGACCTTGTAACGTAAATCTGATTATGACAACTGTGACAGAACATGTGACAAAGACTCTTGCGTATCAAGTTGGACTCAGCTCAGGACAGTATCAGCCACACCTTTGTATCTTTGACAGGTTGATCTCTGAGGGACTAATTCCTTGAATTTGTTACTTTCCAGTTTTCACTTAAAACAACCACTGTTAAACAACTGTAAACATAAAACCTCATCTGAGCTGCAAGAGGAAAACTGATGACAAATTGAAGAGGTGGATCATATGAATGGAACCAAAGAGCCCAGAACAACCTCCAAACAAATTAAATGTGGACTTGAAGGGCGAGATACATCAGTGTCAGATCACACCTCTGATGTGATGTGACTGGAATTTGTCACAATGCATATGGAAAAACCACAAAGCTTCTGGAAGAATGTTCTTTGGACAGATGAGACAAAACTGGAGCTCTCTTGGCAAAGCACATCAGCTCTATGTTCACAGACGCAAAAATGAAGCACGACAAGAAAATAGCACAGTCCCCACTGTGAAGCACGGAGGAGGTTTGGTTTTGTTCTGGGGCTGTTTTGCTGCGTCCAGCACAGAGCGTCTTGAATCTGTGCAAAATACAACAAAATTTCAAAACTATCAATGTATTCTGGAATGAAATGTGTTGCCTAGTGTCAGAAAGTTTGGTCTCAGTCATAGGTCATGGGTTTTCCAACAGGATAATGACTGAAAACACACAGCGGAAAAACACCCAAGAATGGCTAAGAACATTGGACTGTTCTGGAGTGTTCTTCTGTGAACCCAGATCTCAATCCTCGGTGAAAGGAGCTGAAACATTCTGTCTGGAGAAGGTACTCTTCAAACCTGAGACAACTAAAGAAGTTTACTCCTGTGAAATGGGTCAAAATACCTGTTGACCAGTGCAGAAGACTCGCTGATAGTTACAGAAATCATTTGTTTGCAGAGTTTGCCTCAAAATGTTGTGCAACAAAATATTAAGTTGCGGGAACCATCATTTTTGTCCAGGCCAGTTTCATTATTTTGTTTTTTCTTAATGATTCTGTTGAACCACAGGTGAAAAACAATGTGTGATTCACGTTGGACTATTTTCAGTAATTTTTTATTTATTATTGTTTTTATCAGTTTCAAGTTATTTCAGTGACCACTGTTGATTTTTCTTTCATTACAAGAGGAGTACCAACAATTCTGAACACGTTTGTATATCGCCAGTCCCAGTAGGTTACAGTGAACCCTCGTTTATCGCGGGGGATACGTTCCAAAAATAACCCGCAATAGGTGAAATCCGCGAAGTAGTCAGCTTTATTTTTTACTGTGATTTTACAATGCAATACTGAACTGCAGAATGAAACAAAAAATAAAACCTCTTTTCAGGCCCAACATGTGTTAAAGAAATAGAAATATTAACGTTTTCTTACAAATAACTATAATAGTTTAAAGAACGGTGTTGTAAAACAATATTTTAAATACTGTAGTAATGAATACAAGGTAGGAAACATTGTCACTCGCGTATTTCACAGTCCCTCCAGCTGCGCCTCTTCGTCCTGACTCCGTTGCGCTGTAGCGTCTTTTTCTACTGAAGGCTGCGCAGGGGTCTTTCTCCGAGAGAAGAACATCGTTATGGGTAGTTGTTGGCCTCTTTGTCGGCACAGAACGTTTCTTTGACATTGTGGGTTTTGTCACGGAGAAAAATTGCGAACGTAAATTTGGCAGAATGTACAGAAACGAAAACTGTTGGCATGGGTGTAATGAAAAACCAATATAAACATTTTTCACTTCTAGACAACAGTAACGCCCCTAAGCCAATCAGGATTCACTGTAAAAAATAAAGCACTGTAAAAAATTCCGCGAAGCAGCGAGGCCGCGATAGGTGAAGCGCGATATAGCGAGGGATCACTGTATAACAAAACTGGAGAGATCACAAATTCTGCTGCAGTAGAATATGATGTCTTTGTTTTTTTGGGGTTTTTTTTGTACTTCAGTGTCTTCAGACCACAGCGTCAGGGGTGGTGGACTCATGCTACAACATAAACTAAACTTGTATCTAGACTCGTCCAACATTTCTGCGTCGTCAGTGTCTTTGCAGCGTCTTTGAGCGTCCATGTTCCAGGGGTCAAATGCAAATGAGTTGAAAAAGCAGAAAATTTGATTAAAGTTTTCGCGTCCGCCCTCAAATGCAAAATCGTCCAACTACAGTCGTCTGACGTGATTTTGACGCTCTGGATCATGAGTCAAAAGAAAGACAGAGACAGAAAGACATGAGCCCAACACACTTTCACACCTCCAGCTCTTGTTTTGATTTGTTCTTTTTTTGTTATTGTTGGTTGAAATGTGAACGAGTGTCGTCTTGGAATGTATGAGGTGTGGTCCTTCTTGGTTGACAGCACATAGTTTTCATACCACACGTGACAGCGGGACATGTACTAAACTCTATCATAATGAGCCATCTAAATAAAACATTCTTCTCGACAATAGTGAAACAAAAACTGCAGGTAGTGATAAAGGGCGTTCACACCTAATGCACATGGAATGACACGGAATCAAACTGACTAAAAACACTGGTGTTGAATTGAAAGTCAGTAAATGGTGTAAACTTAAAAACTGTAACTGCACAAAACAAACCAAAAGCTCTTACTTCGGTTTGTTTTTGATGGTTTGAAAGCTTTAATCACACTCGGACCCGCACTAAATCAAGCGGACCGAGACCTCAAAAAAGAGGTGATCTCGGCCCGCTCGGCCCCTACTGTGAAGCACGGAGGGGGCTTGGTTTTGTTCTGGGGCTGTTTTGCTGCATCTGGCTCAAGGTCATGGGACTTCCAACAGGATAATGACCCAAAACACACAGCTAAAAACTAAAAACAGCTAAAGAACAAAACTTTGGACTGTTCTGGAGTGTTCTTCTGTGAGCCCAGATCTCAATCCTCGTGAACATCTGTGAAAGGAGCTGAAAGATGCTGTCTGGAGAAGGTACTCTTCAAACCAAAGGCAGTTTGCTCGCGAGAAATGGGTCAAAATACCAGGTGACCAGTGCAGAATGCTTATTTCTACTGGAAGATATACATTCATGAAATGTAGAGTGACCATATTTCCATTTGTGAAAACCCGGACACCTTACCGGGGGTGGGGGGTGGAGCCTCGACATTGAGCTACTCACCGTGCACATGGCCTCCCACTTGTCTCAACCAGGGCCAGAAATCGGGGAATTTTTTGTACAAAACATCGTGAAATGCACATTTGGGTTCGGTCAAGTGGTAACGGAGGGAAACAGGGGCAGATTTTTGACATTCAAATGTCTCTTATTCAGAAACTAGAGGAACTATTGAAATAAGTAAAGTATCAGAATGTAGGAAAGAGTTACACTCCAACAGGGTCAAGTTAAACCTGTGATATTCTTTCAAGTTGTTGACAAAAAATTTAAAAACTCATGTCGGTAACGGAGGGAATGAAATATGCAGCACTTTTTGGACAATAAATACAAACAGTGATAACTCTTGGTTCTCACTTACATATCCTTAACAAACTGGTTTGAATATTTAATATTTTTTTTATTAAGAAAGGTCATGGTAACGGAGGGAAAAGTAACGGAGGGAAAATTGTGCAAACAAGTAGAAGGTGCAGGATTTTACATCATTTGTCGCTTTTTTCTTCTGAATACTTTAATATTACTTCAAAATGAAAGGAAACTATTTCTATAAAATATGTCAGTCCTTCCAAGAACATTTTTATCATTTTAAATACTTTTTTTTTTTTTTTAAATCATGTCCCTTCATCAACAGTTCAAAGATGGAATAACACAAGATATGATGAAATACATCCATTTATTTACATGATTTTCAGGTCTTTGAAATTTGGGAAATAATTTTTGTTCCATGTTTCATTCATGGTCTGTTTAAAACATATGGAACTTTAGAACCAAAAATGGTACAGAAAAAAGGTCAACAGTTTCATAAATTAGAGTACATATGTATCTGTTCAATACATTTTTATATCAGATGCTTTAACTTGAATTTTTGGCCTTGATGTTTACTTCTGCTGGACCGGGCCCATTTGTGCTTTGGCGTGTTGCAGATTGATCGACTGTTTGTCTCTGCTCGCTCCTTCTGAGTTAAAAAACCTGGACATTTGCATCACTTAAAAAAAAAAAAAAAAACCCGAATGGCCAGGACAGGATGCAAAAAATTGACATGTCCTGGGAAAAACGGACATTTGGTCACCCTAACGAAATGTCAGTCAGCAAACGACCCATTTTGGTTCTTTTGCTGGATTCTATCTGCTACATAACAACAATTTTTTTTGCCTGGTGCGGACCAAATAATCAAACTAGTGGTGTGAAAACGTCCTTAAACACACTTTAAAACAGTAAAAATATAGGTTTCTCTTCCATAGACTGCATGATTGTCCTACTTGTAAAGAGTAATTGCATTTATCAAAAGAAAACCAAACACACGAGGAAGGATCGCTGTGATTTTCTGTGACCCATATAGATCCAAACAGTTGTGCTTTTCAGTGGGTCTGTAGCTTCACAAATGAGCAGAGTTTATTAGAAAGCGCTGCACTGTGCATCAAAGACACGGCATTAAAACTGTGAAGGACGATCGCTCCGAGCTGAGGTTACCCAGAATGCAACGCAGCGGCACAACGCAGAAGTGGAGGAATCGTTTACAGCTGCCGAGAGGGAAAACCGGTCCAAAAGACGAAAACCAAATGTGTGAGAAACAATTGGAAATGACAAAAGTATTCAATTTACACAACAATAAATACATTCAATTAAATATTAAAGATACCCTTGGTAAT